TATGCAGGTTTGTAATGCATAATAATTAATCTCTGTAAACCTGCCACTAAAATTAAGAAAGACTATTAGTAACACTGAAATTCCTTGATTGTTCTTTCTTGATCCCATATCATTGGATTCTTCTTTTTTTTTTTTTTTTTTTAGATGGAGTTTTGCTCTTGATGCCCAGGCTGGAGTGCAAAGGCATGATCTCGGCTCACCCCACAACTTCCACCTCCTGGATTCAAGTGATTCTCCTGCCTCAGCCTCCTGAGTAGGTGGGATTACAGGTGTGCACCACCACGCCTGGCTACTTTTTGTATTTTTAGTAGAGGCAAGGTTTCTCCATGTTGGTCAGGCTGGTCTCAAACTCTCGATCTCAGGTGATCCACCCGTCTTGGCCTCCCAAAGTGCTGGGATTACAGGCGTGAGCCACCACACCCGGCCCTTTTTAAATTTTATTATTGCCTTTCTTCCTTTATGTTTAACCATATATAAGTGTCCCCTATATTCTGTTTAGCTTGCTTGGTTTTAAACTTTGTAAAAATGTTATGCTACGTGTATTCTCCAATTTGCATTTTTCACTCAACATGAATTGATACATGTAGATCACTCTTTTTCCACTGCTGTATAGTGTTCTATTGTGGGATTATAACAAAGCATATTTACTCATTTCTCCGGTCTGTGGACAAATGGTTTGTTTCAAATTTTTTGCCATTTCAAACAATGTTACTATGAATGTTCTTACCAGTGTTTCCTGGAATACAGACAAGAGGTATTCTAGAAATTGTGGGTTGAATGGTATATGCATGTTCAAATTTATAAAATAATGTCAGAAGTTTTCCGAAGTGACTATATCAATTTACATCCCTACCACCAATATTATAAGGGCTCCTACTGCTACACATTCTTGGTAGCAGAATGTGCCAAACTAGGAAATGTAAGTTATTTCACTGCACTTTTTAAATCACATTTTCCTGATAGCTAATAAGAATGAGGATCTTTTCATACAATTGACCATTTCTATTTTTTCTTCCATGAAATCCTTCTTTGACTCTCTTGCCTATTTTTGAAATAGGTTTTTTGCCTTTTCTTACTAATTTATAGGCACTCCTTATATTTTATGTTTTAATCCTCTGTTGTTTATACACTTGTAAGTATCTTCTTGCAGTCTGTGGACTGTCCCCACAGTTTAGAAAATACTTTATTTGAAAATAATTTCAAACATGCAAAAAAGCTGCAACAATAAAAATGACATAAAGAAATATCTGTATATGCCCTTTCCCTATTATTAACATTTTCCCCCATTTGTTTTATCTTTGTGGGCACTCATGCGCTCTCTGTGTGTGTATGTCTGTTCATATACACACATACACACATATACATGCAAACACACATTTTTTTTTTCTGAACATTTGAGGCTAAGTTACATACATCATGGTCCTTTACCCCTAAGTCAGTCAGTGTGTATTTGCTAAGTCTAGAGAGATTCTCTCACATAACCATAGTACAATTATCAATTTCAATTTACTTCAGTAAATTTAACCCAACAATATCCTTTATGGTATGGTTTTCCCTACAGTACAGAATCCAATCTAGGGTAAAGTATTGAAATTACTTGTCATATCTCTTTAGCTTCTTTTAATCTAGAACATTTCCATGGCCTTTCTTGGATGTTTTTAAAGAATAATGCTCCCTCCCTGCTTCTGTCCTCAGTAGAACATTCCTCATTTGGGATTTGTCTGGTGTTGTCTTGTGATTAGATTCAGGTTACGTTCTTGGATGAAATACTACACCTAATGTCTGTCTGCTCCTCCTTGGTGATGTTGATTCTGATCACTTGGTCAAGTTTTTGTTCCATTTCTCCACTTTATTATTACTTTTTAAAAATCTCTTGCAACTTGTTCTTCATCTAAATTTTCCCCTAGATATAATATCTATTGATAATTACATCTGATCCAATCTTTACTCAATGGTTGTATCATGTTGATGTTTTCAGTCTTTATTAAGTACTTTGATAAACAAAAGTTCTACCATTGAATCTATCAATCTTTTCTTTTGTTCCTTACACATTTTATGTCCTGTTTAAGAAATTCTAGCCTGCCCTCACAGCACTAAAGATATTGCCTTACATTTCTTCTGAAGTTTCCCTATTATTATAAGCAGTTGCAGTAAATAATAAATCACAGTTTCATACATTCTACATCTAGTAAAAATAGTATTATTCCAGTTGCCTGTTTTCAGGGGGTTTCAAAATTTTTGAAGTTAGTTTTCTCTATGAACAATTTCTGGATTCTAAATTTCATTGTATTTCAGTATGATTTACATTTTAAACAATATTTTTTTCTCTTTTGAAAGTAGTTAGCCAGGTGCAGTGGTTCATGCTTGTAATCCCAGCACTTTGGGAGGCTGAGGCTGGAGGATCACTTGAGGCCAGGAGTTCAAGACCAGCTTGGACAACAGGGTGAAACCCTGTCTGTACAAAAAATTAAAAAATTAGCTGGGTGTGGTGGCATGCCTGTAGTCCTAGCAATCAGGAGGCTGAGGCAGGAGGATTGCTTGAGCCCAGGAGTTCAAAGTTACAGTTCAAACATACCCTGCACTGCAGCCTGTGCGACAGAGTGAGACCCTGTCTTAAAAAAAGAAAAAGCAAAAGCAGTTGACCTGTCAGGCCTGGAACAGAAATTCTTTGCTTTCACTTTTTAAAAACTTAAACAAAAGGCCGTTAATTTATAAGCATAAAATTTATAAGCATAACTTATTTCTGAAATTCTGTGTTTGAAAGGCTGACCTGGAAGAAACAAGGTCAGAAAGTTTGCTTTTTAGACAAAGTAATAGAGCTATATCTATATTATTTCTACCTCTGTACCTTTTTCTCAGCAATTGCTAAAAAAAAAAAAAAATCAAAACATAATAAAGCTATTTTTCCATAGAAAACAAGTGAAATAAATTTAGTAATTAACTATTTTTAAAAACACACACTGGTAAATGGGTTCCTAGCCTATTTTAGAAGTTAAAACTCCCTAGTTCAGAATAGCCAGAAGGAAACCTTTTTATCACTTATTCCACAAGTGTGTACTGAGCACACTCTACACTACACACAAAGTGTGAAGTACTACAGCTAATGAAAACTCCAGATTTCATTGTTTTTGAAATAGATGATATTAATCTGTGTTATTCTCTAATGGTGCATATATTATAGAAGTGTTTTTTAAAAAAGAGTGGAAGCAAGAAAATACCTTAAATTCATCCACAAACATTCAAATTCTAAGTCAGAGAGTGGTTGTGAGAACAGGAAAACCAGACGTGGCATCATCATCTGGTGTTTGGCATGAACCTAATCCTTTCATTAATGTTCAGGGAAAAGGCACTCACCATAAAACCCTACTTGAAACGATTCTTCTTTTAATTTTGTCTTCTTCAGCTAACCCAGCATATCATACTATTTCTCCATATTTCATATGGAAGTAAGTAACCCAGTTTGTAATGTTTTATATAATATATGTCTATGTAAGCTGGTAATCCAAATCAGTTATATTCCATTTCTAACTGCGTACAAAGAAATCAGGATATACCATTTCATAAGAGAAATGACAATAAACCTTGAATGAAATCTTAGTTATGAATCAAAGCTTGCTCTTGAGTTTCCACAGATAATAATGCCAAAAGAGGAGCTGGAAATCATCTTACACCCAGGCCCTATTCCCTTAAATAACAATGACTTCATACACTGACATGAGACCCTCATTGGAACTTGAAGGGGATCTTTAGTATCTTGAACTTTATCTACAGCACGAGTATTTATTTAGAAACTACTTATAAAAATGGTTTCATGTGACCCCTAGTGAACACTGAAATTTTTGACAAGGGTCAGCTTTTCCTTAAGTTTCACTACAAAAACTGGTTGGTAAACTGCTGCTTTTGCATGCTGTAAAGAAATGCTCTTCAAATGTCATCTATTAACAATAATGTGAACATTTAAATAAATTTGTATTTTAGAGGTAATGCTAATAGGATATATTTATGTTCTAAAGAGGTACAGGTGTTTGCTAATTTATTTGTTTCCAATCCTCAGTCCAAATACCAGTCTATTTGACTAAAACTGAATGTATTTTTGTTAGAATATGACAACTAACTTCAGGGTCAGAAATTATTATAAATAAACTTTTTTTTAAAACCCCAAAACCAAAAACCCTGAAAGCATGAATTTAATTCTCGTGTTTAATGGATAACAAGGAAGCAAAGAAATCCCTGGGACTCAAACATTGTAGTATGTTACCAAGAAAGGGCCTGGTGAATTCCTCAAAGCTTTCACCAAAGAGTTATATTAAATTTCCTTTCGGCAACAAAATAAATTGGTTTCTTGCTGGTAGAAGCTTAGGTCAGTCATCTAAATCAGCGAAATCAGGAATACATGCCATTTACTGGAGAGTCACTTAAGTGTAAACTGCGTCTCTCCCCATGGCATGTTTATGTCCTCTCTAGAGAAGATTTACACTGGGGAATGCGGGTGGTGGTGGTCTTGATTCCTTGCCACTTAGGGTTTTTAAAAATTATCAAAAGTTGGGCGGGCGCGGTGGCTCAAGCCTGTAATCCCAGCACTTTAGGAGGCCGAGACGGGCGGATCACGAGACCATCGTGGCTAACCTGGTGAAACCCCGTCTCTACTAAAAAAATACAAAAAAAAAACTAGCCGGGCGAGGTGGCGGGCCCTATAGTCCCAGGTACTCCAGAGGCTGAGGCAGAAGAATGGCGTGAACCCGGGAGGCGGAGCTTGCAGTGAGCCAAGATCCGGCCACTGCATTCCAGCCTGGGCGACAGAGAGAGACTCTGTCTCAAAAAAAAAAAAAAAATTATCAAAGGTTTAAAATCTTGCCTAAAACTGTAGAAATATCTACATTTTCTTTGTATCTTTTTGATGATAGAACATTTGGAAATGAAATTTGATTATAACGCCCTGAGGGAGGAATGGGGTTCCTGTATCCACAGGGAACAAGACAGACCCATGGGTCCTTTCTCACCTGTGACACTGTGATGCTGCATTTCTTGGCCAGCTCCTCTTTGGCTTCTTCACTGGGGTAGGGGTTGCTGAGGTGTGAGTAAAAATATTCATTCAAGATTTCTGTGGCCTGTTTACTGAAGTTACGCCTTTTCCGTCTATGATAAGAGTGAAAAAAAAAGAATTGCAGTTACAATCAACATTAATCTAAGAGGGATAGGTTAATTAAGATGATACCAAAAAAGTAGATTTCTCTTTTTAAACATCCTTAAGTTCTAATTTATTTCTATAATATTGTAAGTTATGTTCTAGACATCCTCCAAAGCATTATCCAACTCATTTTAAGATGTAGGATCACTGAGAAAAATACCAGACTATGAAACACAATTAAATGTGCTTCATTCTTTGAGGACCTAATATTTTAGGTATTCAATGAAGATCCAGTGAGAACAAACAAGGGCTATCAGAGAGCTTACAGGGAAGAGGACTGGGCAGAGGAAGAGTTCTGAAACAGAAATATCTTGTCTAAAGGGTTAGAGCAGGTTGGAGCACTGTAAAAGGGAATGTGTGAGATGTGTCTGGAAGGATGGGCAGGGGGCAGATTATAGAAGCTCAGTGGACTCTATAAGAATTTTTGGATTTTATGCTGAGTGCAATAGGAAAGTATTAAAGGTTTTAAGTTTCATGTTTCTAAAAGATCATTCTGATTGCTGAGAATAGTTGGAGGAGGGCATGAAAAGAACTGCAAAGCCCATTTTAGGAGATGACTGCACTAGTCAAAATGAAGATGATAGTAACTTGGCACAAGGTGAGAGCAATGAAAATAAGATTCAAGATCTACTTGAAAGGTAAAAGCAATAGGACCTGATGATGTATTGAATGGGAGGAGTGAGTGAGGTAGATAGAGAAGGAAGTTTAGGGGAAAAAAAAATACATCGGGAAGGATTTCTAGGTTTTTCTGCTTAAGTAACTGCCTGGACTGGGGTATGATTTTCTTCACTAGGCAAAGAGGAGAGAACAAAAATTTTTCTTTTGTTTTTGTTGGGAAGGGGGCAACAGAATTTCAAAAGATCAAGCATTTATTAACAATATATTTCAAGTAGCAAAAATGTCATTTATATTTGGGTTTTGTTATTAAGATTTTAAAGAATTCCAGCCTGAAAATTATCATTTGTCAGAATTCACTTTCAATTAAGTACCCCAGTAACTAGAAAATACCTTCCCCAGATAATTTTCTTAATACTCTCTTCCAAATAATCTTAATTCTTCTCAACTGTGATATCCCACAGTCAGAAAAGACAAAGTCAGTAGGCTGTTGTAAAGGTATGCACTGTATGAGATTCTTCTAGTCAAAATGATGTCACTCATATGGCAGGTTAAGTATGTCATCTACATTTCAACATTAAGGGAGAGTCAAGGGAGCAAGAAATCTAGGTCTGATCAAAACAATTCAGGTTTTAGTCCTGAAATTTCTTAATTTCAATAATTTTTAGGAGGGTTAAACTATTGTTTTCTGGGAGATGAAGATGAGATTCAAGATCTATTTGGGGATTACAGTCAACAGGATTTGATGATGAACTGGATGGGAAGGTGGTAAGGGAAGACAGGGAAGGAAGGGAACGAGGACAAATACACCAAAAAGAAGGCCAGTTAGCATTTTTGCAGGAGTCAGGTGTTGCTTGAAGAGAAAGACAAGGTCCCAAGGTGAGAGCACGTTGAAGAGGTACACTCTGATGAGTAGGTGCATGGGTAAGGTCTAGACTAGATACTGAAAATGCCAAATTTACAGGCATTATCTGACCCATAGACATTATTTGTTGAGACCACACAGTAATTACTTGCTCATAAAAATCTAGGTTTCTGACTTCTTATGAAAAATTGGGATACCAGCCATACTGGGCCCACATTCTTAGAAGGCAGCTCTAGGTTAAGCTGAGTAATAGTGCCCCCTTAGATATGCACCTGCCTGCTCTAACCCTCCTTGTCCCTCCCTGTATCCCTGATCCAGTCACTCTACTCAATTCCACTATATGTAAGCATGTGAGTCTGTGACTCCTAGTATAAAACATGGAGCCCAGGAGCAAGGCCCAGGGTAGATGGGAATAGATGACACAAGTGCATCTCTTTGGGAAATAGGGACGTGTGAAAGGAGGATCAAAAAGAAATATGTCTAGGAAAGCAAAGAGAAGTTTGGCTCACATCACTTTTGCCCAGGGGTGGTTTTGAACAAACATCAAAACACCTTAGAGAACAAACAGAATAGCTCACTGGACATTCTGGCTGTGTCCAAACTACAGCACTTCTACTGGAAGAGGAGACAGACCCACACAAATTTATTCTTAAATGTTTTGCATTGGTGCATGCTTCGTCTTCTCCAATTATGAAGAAAACATGAGCATGGGAAGTCAGAGTGAGCAAGGGAATCATATATCTGACTGAGCATGTTTGCCTAGAGCAGAGCCCCTTGCCTTCTCAGTGCAGAGGGCTTGCTGGGAGGCACTACAAGAATAGATGGAACCAAAGCTCAGTATTTGCATTCACTTGAAGGCACAGGAGACAACTTGGTCTTACACGTTATTTATTTTTTAGAAAACATCCTGTAGAAAATGCCCATTAAGCATTTCCCCTCAGTTTCACTCCCCCAGGGTTCACCACACTCTAAATGGCTATGCCTCAGGCCAGTGTGCAGTGGCACATCAGTCCAGGCCTGTGTCCCATCAGCATCACAACATTACTAACAGCAATCTCTGCGGGAGAAGAGACTCTGCTCCAAGCTCTGCCACTCTCTCATTCTGGCTCTGCTCACTCTAGGCTGTTAATATACTTTCTCTTCATGGAAGAAAAATAAATTATTTAGGTGTATACATTATGAATGCAGTTATTTAAAAAATAAGCATGCATGTTGACAAGAATGGGAAAGCATCAGCAGAAATAAGGAGAGCAATTATGTTAGAAAATATTCCTTTCTATCAGACATATGTTTTACTATCTTTGTTACATTAGGCTTTTTAATAAAATGTTCAAATTTGACAAATAATTTTAAAATGTTTTTTGTCTTCTGATACTACCTCTCTAACCCTGATTTGAGCTGTTACAAAGTATTAAGTGGAATTATTCATTCATCTGGCCAGTCAATAAATTATTTTTGGTAGCCTCTAACATATAAGTCATTTGCTAGAATTGTGGGGAATGCAAATGTGTAAGTCTTGGCTGTTGCTTTCAATGACACTGTGGCTTACTAAGGGAGAGAAGAAATGTTCATGAAAAACTACAAGAAAAGGGAGTCTACAGGAAGTTCAGTCTGAAGAGTTGTATAAACATAGTATAAGTGTTCAAGGGAAGGAAGGGCTAGTTCAGTGGGGTGATTAAGGTGGATTTTCAGAAAAGCGAGCATTTAGACCAGACCTGGAACGATGAGCAAAATCTCACTAGATCCAACAAGTACAAGCACTGGTTCCATTCCGGGCTCCATTCCAGATACCCTCACAGATGATGACTCATTACTGGTAACCAGCTTAGAGAGACAGTTTGTTGTGGGAGCCAGGGAAGTAAGTGGTTAGACTTAGGAAAAAAACGAATTCTAAGCAGTAGAAACATAATTCCATGAAGCATTTCATTTTTGGAAGAAATACAGGAAAGAACAATTTAGTGATATATAAATAAGAACACTGAAAATGTTCAAACTCTGGTCTAATAATTCCATTTCTAAGAATTGATCCTTAGGAAATAATCCTAAAGACCAAAAAGGTTTAATCCATGAAGATTTTCATTAAAATGTTAGTTTCAATAAAAATCTATCTAAAATAGTACCCTCTACATTTTCTCTCCCCTTGACTTGCTTTATTTTTCTGCATACCACTTACCACCCTAGTACATTTCATTACATTATTAAATACAGTGTTATGGCATATTTGTTCACTTGTTTACTGTCTGTTTCCTTAAGTAGAATATAAGCTCAATTGGGGCAAGTATGTTAACCTGTCTTGTTTACCAATATATCCTCAGTACCAATAAATATTTGTGGAAGGAAGAAAGGAAGAAATTATACGAAAATTAATAGTTGGTTGGGCATGGTGGCTCCTGCCTGTAATCCCAGCACTTTGGGAGGCAGGACAGCTTGAGCTCAGGAGTTCAATACCAGCCTGGGGAACATGGTGAAACACCATCTCTACAAAAAATACAAAAATTATCCAAGCATGGTGACACATGCCTCCCAGCTACTCGGGAGGCAGAGGCAGGAAGATCACTTGAGCCTGGGAAGTCGAGGCTGCAGTGAGCCATGAGAGCATCATTTACTGCACTCCAGCCTGGGTGACAGAATGAGACCTTCTCTCAAAAATAAAAAACAAAGAAAAGAAAAGAAAAAGAATAATTAATGGAGACAAATTATATGCTCAAAAATAAGAGAATGCTAAGGACATTATTTATTTTATATACATTTGGTAACTTCAATTGTTAAAATGCTATTTATAACTAGAGCTTATACTACATGGAAATGTTTACGTATTCATGGTAAATTTTTTAAAAAGCAGACCAGACTGTGTAAATTGACCCATCACAGAAATATTTCTTTTAAAAAGCCCCCAAACAAGAAGAGAGAGAATAAAACATTTATAGTGATTTTTTTTTCTTTAGGTAATAAAAATGAGGTTAACTTTTATCCTTTAGCCTTTTATTCCATATATTTTCCAAACTTTCCATAGTGAGCTTGGCATTTTTTAAATAGAAAAAAGAATAATAAAATCTTCACAACAACAAAGAAGCAATGCAGACAGGGACAGGCCTTAAATGTCAGGATAAGGAGTGTATATGTGAAGTATGCATATATCCAGCATTGGAAAACTATCGTAGTTTTTACGCAAAGCAATCAGAGTAGCACAGTGATGTTATAGAAACAAACAAGGGATATGGAGGATGGGCTGGAGGGCAGTAGGACTGGAGACAGGGAGACTAGTAGGTACTGTGCTAGTTCACGTACAAAAGGATGGACAGGAACTGAGACGGAAAGAAAGAGCTAACATGAAAAACGCTGAAAATGCTCCACACACTTTGTTTTCCAGTTGAGAAGCTATCTTAGTCATTTCCTTTAATATTGTGAGATTTGGATGATAATTATCACCTCTGTCAGATTCCATGGGAGAAGAAAGAAAAACAAAACAGAAACTCCTTTCCAAAGCTGCAGATTGATCATAAGCTTTGGCAATGCCCCGAGAGGCATCCCTACAGAGGCAGCGTACACTAGGACGTTGACAATTCTTCTGTTCTGTCACTCAGTAGGTCACCACATACAATTTATTACCATATACAATATATTACCTAACTCCTGTGAAACTTGGGGAAAGCTTCGGATAAAGGGAAATTTTCATCCTTACAGGAAAAATGATAGGCTTTCTTTCTTGATTTGGATATACAGACTCTGGAGCTTTGTGGTAACTGCTATTAACTGAAATGCCTCTTCCTTCTTAGGAGTATCAATATCTCCAAGTATTTTCCGATAATATGCACAAGCAGTGTAACATTAAGAAACTCTTAGAAAATACCCCTTGTTAAAATAGTTATATGCAGAAAACTATCCTTAAAAACACTTTTTAGCATCAGAATGGAAAGGTTACATATTCCTAAAGCCATCAGCAGAGACGCCAATCCTATTCATTTCCTGAGTCACTAAACTGGCAACTAACCCACACTACACTACCATTCCCAGACAGGAAAGCTTGACAGCACAGGCACCATGAGTTGAATTACCTGTCCATTGCACAAAAGAGCTCATATGGCCAAAAGAATTTAAGACCAATGGGTCAGTTTTACAGAAAAGAATATACAAGGAGTGAAAGACGGGGGAAAGCCATGCAATAGATTTATGGCTTCACATACCTGGCATCGAGGAACCTTGATCTTAAAATCATAACTGCTTCACAAGTGCTTTGTTTGAGTTGCATTTGAATGGAACTAAATTTTCGATGGATGATGCCCACCATTCTTTCAATCTCTTTTGGAGAAATGGGACGTGTTCTACTCTGTTCTCGGAGAAGGTTCATCACATGTGTAGTAAATTCATTACATGCCTGTAATGGGAAAAAAAAATCACTCCTTTGGAAACTGATATTTTATATTATCACATAAAGAGATTAACTCATCTGAATTTACACCTCATTTGCAATCACCAATAGCATTATACAGTGTGTAGGGTAAAACGAAAACTAAGACACTTTTAAAATGGTAGTAATAGTAGTTAAAGCAGCAAGAATTCTGAAACCGTGCATGGTCAGATGTGCAAGGGAGATAGCATTCAGCTGCTCTTCCCACCCACCCCGTCCAGTTCCAAAATGATGTTTTCCCATTCGAGGATGCTCCCTACCAATTCCCATATACAAATAAAAATATATGTTAATTGTTAATACTAAGTACCACCTATTTTCTCTGGGGTTTTACATTTAGTCAACAAATGTTTACTGAACAACTACAAAGTTCAAACTCTTGCCAGTGCTGTAAGGAACATAGAAATGAGTAAGATGCGGGCCTGGCCTTTGGTGAGAAAAAATATATAAAAAACTAATTCAGTGCAAAGACTAACAGGAAGATATTAATAAGTTCCAAGGAAGGAATATTCTCATCTGTAGGCTTCATGGATTGAGCTTTAAAGAATAGGTAGCATCTTTGAAAGGTAGATAAAGATGGAAGTCAGGAGGAATTCCAGGCACTAGAAATAACAGTATGTTGCAAGTTCAGAATATGTCAAGTAGGAATACAGATAATATGTAAAGAAGCAAAAAGGATTCAGGCTTGAATTAGCACATAAAGGGCCTTGCATGCCAAGCATTCCAACGACCTATTACAATTTAGCTGTAGTGCAGGCCTTTAGTGGATATAAGCCATCTCTGTATAGCACCTCAACTCTTCAAGAGATGTCCAACAGAAAATAAGGATCAGATTTGGGTCTCAAACTTTTTAGTTAACAATCCTCAGACATTGTCTCTTTCAGTACATACACACACACACACACACACACACACACACACACACACACACACACACGTTTCCCCTAAAATTCAGAGTCTCACTCTGTCACCTAGGCTGGAGTGCAGTGGTATGATCATAGTTCATTGCAGCCTCAAGCTCCTGGGCTCAAGCAATCCTCCCATCTCAGCATCCCAAGTAGCTGTGATGATAGGCATGTGCCACCATACCCAGCTAATTATTTATTTATTTATTTTTTGTAGAGACGGAGTCTCACTCTGTTACCCAGGCTGGAGTGCTGGAGTGCAGTGGTACAATCTCGGCTCACTGCAACCTCCGCCTCCCAAGTTCAAGCAATTCTCCTGCCTCAGCCTCCCAAGTAGCTGGCACTACAGGTGCACATCACCACACCCAGCTAATTTCTTTTAGTCGAGATGGGGTTTCACCATGCTGCCCAGGCTGATCTCAAACTCCTGAGCTCTGACAATCTGCTCGCCTCGGCTTCCCAAAGTGCTAGGATTACAGGTGTGAGCCCTCGCGCCTGGCCCCCAGCTAATTTTTAAATCATTTTGTAGAGTCAGGGTCTTGCTATGTTGCTCAGACTTGTCTCAAACTCTTGGCCTAAAGAGATCCTCCCACCTCAGCCTCCTGAGCTGCTAGGATTACAGGTGTGTGCCACTGCATCCAACTTCATCTATATTCTCTTTGATTTATAAATCTGTATAACTGGGCCTACACTGAAATCCGGTACTGCCCTGGTAAATAAAGCATCAGTTTATACTCCTGAAGAAGAAGAGTCTCTTCTGGCATTTTTCTTAAAAAAGCAGGATGGGAAATTCTGCATCTTACTGCACGGGTGTCCCTGATAGAGTGAGCAGACAGAACAATCACTGATTAATGCAAGACGTGTTTGGAAGTTATGATAATGTCCACTTCCCTACAGATATCCTGAACACTGCTTAGATATAGCACACGATGGTTTTTCTAACTGCTCATTGGAGGACTAACCTTTCCCGTACACTGTGTATTTCACTTACTCTACGCTTTTACAGAGCTTTCCATAAATATTTCTAAGATAAGGTAAAATGAGTCTTACTATGTAAAGTTTTTTCAAAAATGTTTTAAGCCGTAGGAAATATTACATTCCTTGCGAGTGGTGACACTATATGATACAGGATTCTTCAGAGTGTAGAATTATGCAATATACATATCTAATAAACATCTACAAATTGGTGGGCTTTTTAATACTACAATTTAAGAGTGAGAGTTATGTTGGTTAATAGCCATAAATTCATTATCCCTGAACCATAAAAGAAGAATTCTTAATCTGCAGTCAATGGATAGGTTTAGAAGGTCAATGACCTCCTGAAATCCTATACAAGTTGTGTGAATATTAATAATTCTGATGAATCTGTGAAGTTTTTGTTTTCTTTTCAGATTCTCAGTCTATAATTTTAAAAGGTTAGTAATCATTATCCTAGGATATGACATAGTAAAACATTAAGCAATATTGTAGACTAAAACCAGAAGTTGAAGGCAGAAACCAAGATTTAAAAAAATAAATTTAAGATCTTCCCCACTATATTATCAATTTATTTTATTATTATTTTTTGAGATGGAGTTTAGCTCTTGTTGTCCAGGCTGTAATGCAATGGCACGATCTTGGCTCACTGCAATCTCTGCCTCCCAAGTTCAAGCTATTCTCCTGCCTCAGCCTCCCAAGTAGCTGGGATTACAGGCGTGTGTCACCATGCCCGGGTAATATTTTTTGTATTTTTAGTAGAGATGGGGTTTCACCATGTTGGTCAGGTTGGTCTCGAACTCCTGACCTCAAGTGATTTACCTGCCTCAGCCTCCCACAGTACTGGGATTATAGGCATGAGCCTGTAATAAACAGTACATGGCCTATTTATTTATTTTGAGACAGTTTCATTCTGCTGCCCAGGCCGGAGTGCAGTGGCACGATCTTGGTTCACTGCAACCTCCGCTTTCCGAGTTTGAGTGATTCCCATGCCTCAGCCTTCCGAGTAGCTGGGATTACAGGCGTATGCCACTGTGCCCAGCTAATTTTTTTTTTTTTTTTTGAGATGGAGCCTTGCTCTGTCACCCAGGCTGGAGTGCAGGGGCATGATCTTGGCTTACTGCAAGCTCCGCCTCTTGGGTTCACACCATTCTCCTGTCTCAGCCTCCTGAGTAGCTGGGATCACAGGCGCCCGCCACCACGCCCGGCTAATTTTTTGTATTTTTAGTAGAGACAGGGCTTCACTGTTTTAGCCAGGATGGTCTCGATCTCCTGACCTCGTGATCTGCCCACCTCGGCCTCCCAAAGTGCTGGGGTTACAGGTGTGAGCCACTGCGCCCAGCTAATTTTTGTATTTTTGGTAGAGACAAGCTTTTACCATGTTGGCCAGGCTGGTCTCAAACTCCTGACCTCAAGTGATCCGCCTGCCTCGGCCTCCCAAAGTGCTGGGATTACAGGCATAAGCCACCATGCCCGGCCTATATTATCAATTTAAACAATTTTATGCCAAATTAGAAACAAGTGGTCACCCTACCAGTAAAAAAAAAATATATATATATATATATATCTTTTTCTTGAACTTTCCCTAAGGAGATGTTTATATAATTTCCAAGTTATATAATGTGGCCAACTCTACCCTTCAGTATTCTCATGAGTAAAACAACAATAATTGAACTAGAACTATTCCCAAACTGGGATTAACAAATTCTACAGTTCTACAGCTAGTTCCATAGAATGTTAACTAATGGTCCAACAATATGGTATGTTTGGGATATGCTGGGTTAACCAAAATCTTAAAAAATGTTTATGGATAAGACTCTTCAGTATTTCTATCCCAATATTTGTAATAAATCTTCAAGGAGAAACAGTATATCCAACTTTTTCCCAAATAAATGTGGCCAAAAAATTTCTCTCTAGAGTAATACTGTCCAATAAAAATATATTATGAGACACATATTAAATTTTTAAATTCTCAGTAGCCATATTAAAAAAATAAAATACAAAGAATTAGGTGAAATTAATTAACAATATATTTCATTTAACCCAATATATAAAAAATAACCTGGCCTGGGCAACATGGCAAAATCCTGTCTCTAACAAAAATATAAAAACTTAGCTGGACATGGTGACACGCCTATGGTCCCAGCTACTTGGGAGGCTGAGGTAGGAAGATCACTTGAGCCTAGGAGGCAGAGGCTATAGAGAGCTGAGATTGTGCCACTGCATCCAGCCTGGGTGGCAGAGTGAGAGAAAGAAAAGAAAGAAAAGAAAGAAGGGAAGGGAAGGGAAGGGAGGGGAAGGGAGGGGAGGGGAGGCGAGGGGAGGGGAGGGGAGAAAACTGTTAATGAGGTATTTCATTCTTTTTTTGTACTCTTTGAAATCTAGTGTGTATTTTACATTGACAGCACATCTCAATTCAGACTAGTCAGACTTCAAGTGCTCATTAGCTACATGTGGCTACTGGTTGCTATATTCAGCAGCACAGCTCTATGGTATCTTGTGGACCAATGTGCTAGGAAAAAATCTTTGGGAAATGGCTATGCTAGGTAATCTTTGATACATTTAAAAATTTTTCACCACCATACATTCACACAAACACAATAAAAGCCCATTTGACTTAGGAAAGTCCTTGATGAAGCAATATAAATTATTCATCTTACTATCTATAAACCTTTGAGTATGTCTGTAATATTGTGTGTGTCAAATGGGAAGCACACAAAAAAAGCTCTTGTATTGCACACTGAAGGAGGACTGTCTTGAGAAAGAGCACTTTTATGGTTAAGTAATGAGCAGAAGTCAATTTTTTCATGGAACACCATTTTTACTTGGAAACAAGTATGAAAAATTATGATTATATGGAGTTGGGTATTTGGCAGATGTTCTCTCAAAAATGAAACAAGTGAGCCTTCCATGTCAAGGAAAACAGCTGAGAGAATTATGCCAATTAAAAAAATCTGAGTTTTCAAGTGAAAATCAGAATTTTGAAAAACTTGCATCCACCACTGTAAGCTTAACAGTTTCCCAGTAGACTTTCTGATGAGTTCAGAGTTGATATTCATAAATATGATATTTTGACATTATATAATG